ATTTATTAAACACTGTTGTTCATTTATGATTTCAAACTGCAGAATTAGCATGTTGCATTAGCTTTTTGAAACCTACATTTATCCGTTCAAGTTTAATGCTAATTAAGATCCCCATTGTTTCTGTGTCAGAGAAATACTACTTTGATTATAAAAATCAACTACAGAGTTACAATCATTTAAAATATATATATTTAGACATATTAAATATCAGAAAGGTTTTAGATTAAAGGTTTGGGGTTGGTAAGATTTTTTAATGTTTTTGAAAGAAGTCTCTTACGTTCACAAAGGCTGCATTTATTTGATACAAAATACAGTAAAAAATTGTATATATTATAAAAATGTTATATATTATATAATGTTAAATATTTTTTAATAACAAAAATGTTTTCTATTTTAATATATTTTAAAATATAATTTATTCCAGTGATGGCAAAGCTGAATTTTCAGCAGCCATTACTCCAGTCTTAAGTGTCACATGCTCTTTAGTTCATGAAACATTCTGTATAATTATAAATGTTGAAAACAGCTGTGGGACAGCACTTATTTGAAAAAAAAACAAAAAAAATTGCATCATCTTATTGTCAGTCACTGATCATTTTTACTTATGTTACTTGTGAATTTACTGTTACTTATGAATTAAAGTGTCCTTGCCTTAAATGCAAAGTATTACATTTTCAGACCCCAAATGTAGTGTTTGAACAGTAGTTTAAAATGTACAGTTATTATAAATTTTGATGCCTCTTCCTAGTGTTGGGTTCGAGTCCACCTAAGTCGAGTCCAAGTTGAGTCCGAGTCTTTAACCAATCGAGTCCGAGACAAGTCCGAGTCCAAAATCGGCCGAGTCGGACTCAAGTCCGAGAACCAAACAGCCAAGTCTGAGTCCAACCAAACTCTATTATTTATTAGTATCTTAACATTGTTTTAACCTTTACAACTAGAAAAACGAAATATTTATTTAAATGTAACAAAAACAAACCTCTATTACATCTTGCCATTTAGATTTTTGATTAATAATTAGTGTTCTGCTTTGCTTAGCAAACTTAAAGTCATGTAACAGAAGTTATGGCTGAATTGATTTAGGTATTGTGACATATTTCAGAGTGAAACAGGTTTTAGAATGTGAAAAATTAAAGGGTGGGACTTGACTTTATTAATCGTTAAAGTAAATGTATAAATTCAAGGGTGGGCACCTTTTATCTCAATAAAAACAAGCTTTATATCATTTTTACGATTTTTAATGAAATATGAATTTTGAATAATCAAAATTTGTTTGTGTCTGCTTATTCTATTTATCAGTGTTTGAACCATTAAAGAAGAAACTGCATTTTAATTTCTGGGTTAAAAAAAACTAAAAATGAATGGACGCCAAAGTACACAGACCCCTTAGACAGGGTATTTTGAATTTCTTCTTGGATGAAAATGAACCTAGTCTGTACAATGGCACACACTGTGTATAAAAGCCCTACATATACTCACAGGCAACTCACACCTGTTTTATTTCTGCATGCATTTATAGTTACATTAATTACAATAAATTACATTATGTAAGGAATAATTGATGATGGGCCGTTGAATTATTAGAAAATAATGCACACCCAAGGTAATTTTGAACACATAAAAACTATTGCCGCAGATGTTAGAAAAATTATTTTTCTTTGAAGCTAGAAACTGCCACTAATACAAAAGCAAAAAATAATAAACTAATGGAATAAAACATTCTCAAGCTTACTGAAGGCAAGTAAACACTCCCAAGTATTACTTACAAGCTAAATGATAAATAAATATATTACTCAAAAATACAAATTAAATAGATATTTCGTTTTTTAAAGTTTTTCAGTTGTAAAGGCTTCTACAGAAATAGCCTACTACAGACATTTCATGACGTAATAAATGTAAAAATAATCTTCACTTTATACATTAAATATTGATGATTCTTATTAAAGTTAATAAGTGATTCAGTCAAGAGCAGTGAGTGATTTTCTCCTTTTCTTTTGTTTGATTAACATTTATGACACAGTCGGCGGCTGCAGGTTTACGCTGTTGCTTTAAGATCTGACGCACAGATCAAATATTTTGACACATCCGTATTTCTCATTTCAGAGTGAAACAGGTTTTAGAATGTGAAAAATTAAAGGGTGGGACTTGACTTTATTAATCGTTAAAGTAAATGTATAAATTCAAGGGTGGGCACCTTTTATCTCAATAAAAACAAGCTTTATATCATTTTTACGATTTTTAATGAAATATGAATTTTGAATAATCAAAATTTGTTTGTGTCTGCTTATTCTATTTATCAGTGTTTGAACCATTAAAGAAGAAACTGCATTTTAATTTCTGGGTTAAAAAAAACTAAAAATGAATGGACGCCAAAGTACACAGACCCCTTAGACAGGGTATTTTGAATTTCTTCTTGGATGAAAATGAACCTAGTCTGTACAATGGCACACACTGTGTATAAAAGCCCTACATATACTCACAGGCAACTCACACCTGTTTTATTTCTGCATGCATTTATAGTTACATTAATTACAATAAATTACATTATGTAAGGAATAATTGATGATGGGCCGTTGAATTATTAGAAAATAATGCACACCCAAGGTAATTTTGAACACATAAAAACTATTGCCGCAGATGTTAGAAAAATTATTTTTCTTTGAAGCTAGAAACTGCCACTAATACAAAAGCAAAAAATAATAAACTAATGGAATAAAACATTCTCAAGCTTACTGAAGGCAAGTAAACACTCCCAAGTATTACTTACAAGCTAAATGATAAATAAATATATTACTCAAAAATACAAATTAAATAGATATTTCGTTTTTTAAAGTTTTTCAGTTGTAAAGGCTTCTACAGAAATAGCCTACTACAGACATTTCATGACGTAATAAATGTAAAAATAATCTTCACTTTATACATTAAATATTGATGATTCTTATTAAAGTTAATAAGTGATTCAGTCAAGAGCAGTGAGTGATTTTCTCCTTTTCTTTTGTTTGATTAACATTTATGACACAGTCGGCGGCTGCAGGTTTACGCTGTTGCTTTAAGATCTGACGCACAGATCAAATATTTTGACACATCCGTATTTCTCCCAACTGTTCAAGTTCACTTAAGACAAAACCGAGTGCATTTACATGAATAGTCTCCAAGACAGGCATTTTGACATAACTTTTCGTGTAAGTGTGTAGCAATAACAGAACTTAAGTGGAAGAGAACTCGGCATTCGCACACTGACTGAGAGGCGTGTTCTGTGAGCGCGCTTTCGGTGTGTGAGCACAGAAACCCATCGGCTTTCAAGTGCTGGACAATGGACAAGACTTAAAAACACATGCAAATACTGAATATCACTTTTGTGATAATGCATTGAGTCAGTGACATTTCCGTCAACTGTCCCTGGACTCGGTTGGACTCAGACATATTTTCAGAGTCAAGTCCGAGTAAAAATGCATCCGAGTCCATGACAAGTCCGAGTTCTTTAAAAAATTGTACTCGAGACCGGACTCGAGTCCGAGTACGAGTCCGAGTACCCCAACTCTACCTCATCCTGCACTACACAGATTTATGTCAAAGAATTTTGTCCAATCAAATGTGCATAAAGCATTTAAATATTGCTTTTTTTTTCTCTTAATGGTTAGGCTTAAACTACAATAAGTCAACTGTATTTGAGAAGAACAGAAGACATAAATAGGAAGTACCTATTAGTACAGCATGCATGTGTGTGTGTGTGTGTGTGTGTGTGTGTGTGTGTGTAACCATACCTCTGCCTTTATGCGGTTGTCTCCATAGCACAGGTGCTGTATGTATGCTGCAGCATTGGCCTGGACAGAAGGGAAATGATGCTGCAGCATTCGGATCACCTCTGGCAGCTCGGGGTCTCTCCAGGCAAACTCCCTAACACCCCCCACAGACACAGATAAAACAGATGTCAAACACACATACAAATATGAAAAATGTCCACATTTGACAAATAAATATTTGCAGATTTGAATAAAGTATACATAATTACTTGTGTTTACATGTTAGCATCAGGAGGACAAATAACTAGACGCATTAAAAAAAATCTGTCCAGCTTTATTATCATTAAAATATGCACTGCAAATGTGAATGAGCACTCAGGCAATCTGGTTTACATTTTCTGACAAGCTCTTGCTCTGTCTGCAAAATAAACATGCCCAGAAATATTTTACAAAGCAACATATGCACAGAAGTAGTGGAAGCTCAACAAATCAAATAGGTTTGAATAATGCGGCAAAATGGGAAGACACATGCTGGGTTTCATTTACAAGTAAAGTCTTTATGTTTTAAATGTCAGTGACTTCAAAGCTGGCCCTAAATTATTTTTGAAGCTTTCTGCAATGTTTCTGGAATCACTGGGTTCAGCTTTTCACCTGGGATCTTTGTGAACACTGTCTATGGAAGGCGAGCGTGTGACGGCGTTGTCGACGGCAGCTGCATGTCTGGTGTAGTTCGAGTCGGTTTGGTGGTAATGGGCGGGGCGAAAGTTGTCAGAGTGCGTTGCCATGGAGCCCACTGAGAATAACCCTCGCTGGTACCTCAGAGTGCTACACTGACTACTGGTCCTTTGTAAAGTACCAAACCCTGAGTGACAGAGTGAGCAATACAGACATAGTTAAGATGAACACTGTGAAAATGTCAGAACTCATTTACTGAGTTTGCAAAGATAGCAGTGGTGCATGAAGGACATTCATCACATACCTGTATTGTTTCTGGAGATAGCGCTCTGGGAGCCATTCGTGGGGCTCTGGTACAGAGGGTTCTGGAAGGTTCTGTCTTCATAGATTGGCGTGACGTGGCAGTCAGGGGAGCGGGCGTCTTGGCCTAACTGGCTGTTCTGACTATAAGAGGTTTGCAAGCCTAGATGAAGATCAGAGATTCACAACAGTGTTATTTTAGTACATTTATTGTGTGTTTTGGGCATTTTTATTTATTTATTTTTTACATATGTCTACATAGCTTTTATTTAGTTTTAGTTATTTTAGTACATAAACTTGGCAAACAGCTGAACTAAAACAAGTCTTTTTATTTTTTATTTCAGTTCATGTTTATTATAGTTCAAGTAATGAAAACATTTCTTATTGTTTTAGTTTTAATGAATGATATCCCTGATTCACAATCAGTAAATTTCATTCAGAGTTTATTCACTAGTGATCAAAATTATTAACAGTTTTCATGTTCTCGAAAGAAGTCTCTTATGCTCACCAAGGCTGCATTTTTTAAAATGAAAATACAATAAAAACAGTAATATTGTGACATATTATTTAAATTTAAAATAACAGTTTTTTTATTTTAATATATTTTTAAATGCCATTTATTCCTGTGATAGCAAAGCTGAATTTTTAGTAGCCATTACTCCAGTCTTCATCTAATATAATTGGTGCTCAATTATTTATTAATTGTCCTTATTATTATCAATGTTTTGCTGCTTAATAATTTTGTGGAAAATGCAATACATTTTCTTTCAGGATTCTTTGATGAATGGAAAGTTCAAAAGGACAGCATTTATTTGAAATCAAAATCTTTTGTAACATTATATATGTCTTTACTGTTACTGTTAAATTAATACGTCTATGCTGGATAAAAGTATTATTTTATTATTATTATTTTTAAACAAATAAACCTAAATCTTACTTAACCCAAACTTCTGAATGGTAGTGTATCACAGATTCAACAAAAATATTAAGCAGCATAACTGTTTTCAACATTGATAATAATAATAAATGTTGCTTGAGCACCAAATCAGCATATTAGAATGATTTCTGAAGGATCATGTGACACTGAAGACTGGAGTAATGACTGCTAAAAATTCAGCTTTGACATCACAGAAATTAGTTACATTTTTAAATACATAACAGAAAACAGTTCTTTTAAATTGCAATAATATTTCATAATATTACTGTTTTTACTATTTTGAATCAAATAAATGTAGCTGTATTGAGAATACACTTAACCTAACCCTAAAACACTTAATAATAATAATAGACAAAACAATAGCATAGGAGACTTATCAAAAACATTTAAAAAATCTTAATTATTCCAAACTTTTGACCAGTATCCTACATCAATAACCCACTGACCAATCTCTTTTGATTGGTGTATCTAATCTATACAATATTTATCAAAACAAGTTTACTCTACTGAAAGGATCGGCATAGACCAGCATGAATTTCTATCCAGGCTCATTTGTGCTAATTAGGTGTCGGTCTAGCTAGTGAAATTCATCAGCAAAACCAGTCTAGCAGCTGTACAACTACATAACGAAGACTTTCGTTGTGCTTCACTAGGCAAATAAAGCTCTCGAGTCTTCAAGTGGAGATGTAAGTTGTATTTTATAAAAACAATCTGCTGTAATTAACCACTCCACTGGACTTCCCCACCTTCAGCTGTATCTGTGAGAAATAATGACCTTGAACAAGTACGAGGCGTATTCAGCAGCAGTAAAGCGCGTGAGATAAAAAGTTTTTATACTGAAAGAAGGCACTATGTTGTGTTGCTGTTAGTGACGTGAATGTCACTTTGCCTGACATCAATCAGAGATACGCATACAATTGATTGTGCGATTTAGATGAATTAGCCAGAGGTTTCAGCCTTTCTCCCACACATGATTTCATGGCAAAAACAGGATACAATAGATTTGCTCATGAACGCCTACCCATAATTGCATACCCAATTTCCCAACTCTTGGAGCGTAATTACTAAATCTACTGACAAACCCTGTGAATGCTTGTACTGACATTGTACAGTATGCTCATTAGTGTATAATAGTTTTAAGAGCTGTAGGGTATGTATAACCACGCAACCTTGTGAGACTGACATTCACAACCAGAACTTTCAATAGAAGACATCTGACCACAACCTAATCTGAAACCTGGATCACAACCTAAGCAGACAAACTTTGATCTCTGCCTTCAAACTATCATCTGACTATCATCAGAAATTCCAGTAAGTATTGACAGGCAGATATACTGACCAGTTTGATTAATTAGGCAATATATGGCCATTGTGAGATAATTGCATCAGCTGATAACCATACTACAATGTTAGCTTTGCTGGCAAAAAATTTATAATTCGGTAGGGCTAGCGGAAAAAATATAGATTTTTTCGATTAATGTGATACTCATCCTGAATGATCTTGATAGCGCTTATTAAAATCCCCAAAACCTTTACTACCTTTTTCATTTCCTGCATGAAAATGTATTTGTATATCAATTTTTGTTCTGGAGAATCTGATTCTTCAGCACGACGGGAAAAACTGAGTGTGAATGTGAGTTTGCAGTTGTACTGATGTGAAGCAAGAAAAGGACATTTTCTATTATGAAATAATGACTAGAAAGATATTTAAGGGCTGCATGCAAAAACAATGCAACCAGTTTAAAATCAGATTCTTTTTAGTGAATCAAAAGCATTCAGTATAGCCTGATTCCTCAGACGAATGACTCTATTAAAGGGATAGTTCACTCAAAAATGAAAGCTACCCCAATAATATACTCACCTTCAAGCCATCTTAGGTGTATATGACATTCTTCTTTCAGACGAATACAATCGGAGTTATATTAAAAAACATCCTGGCTCTTCCAAGCTTTATAATAGGAGTGGATGGTAGCCCAAAGTTTGAAGTCCAAAAAATCGAACCAATCCAGTATAAAAGAAGTCCACACGGCTCCGAGGGGTTAATAAAGGCCTTCTGAAGTGATGCGATGCGTTTGTGTAAGAAAAATATCCATATTTGCAACTTTATAAACCTTAATCTCTAGCTTCCGTTAACTGTCATACACGCATTCACAAGAATGGCGTCCAGCGGATGACGTAGTACGTAGGCAAATCCGGTGACGAAGGCGGAAGTGACGAACGTGGAAGCGCAGAGGAGAGAGCAAAACAAAACACCGGTCATGAATTAGTAGTACAAAACGAGGATTTGTAAAGAAAAATGTCAGAGGATTTCAATATAAGCCAAGAGGACACTGGTTTTCCTTTGCTGTAAATAAAACTTGTTTCTCGCGAGACTAGCATATTCTCACCGGAGTTTACACTATGCCTACGTCATCCGCTGGACGACACTCTCTCGTGAACGTGCGTATGACAGTTAGTGGAAGCTGGAGATTAAGGTTTATAAAGTTGTAAATATGGATATTTTTATTACACAAACGAATCGCTTCGCTTCGGGAGGCCTTTATTAACCCCCCAGACCCGTGTGGACTTCTTTTATAATCAATTGGTTACATTTTTTGGACTTCAAATTTTGGGCTACCATCCACTCCCATTATAAAGCTTGGAAGAGCCAGGATGTTTTTAATATAACTCCGATTGTATTCGTCTGAAAGAAGAAAGTCATATACATCTAGGATGGCTTGAGGGTAAGTAAATAATGGGGTAATTTTCATTTTTGGGTGAACTAACCCTTTAAGCAAGTTCTTTCCATGAATTTCAAAAATCAACCAGTCTGAAAGACTTTTACGCTGTAGAATTCACAGCACTTGCAGAGAGATTTCATTTGTAATACAGACAATGAACCAAAATGAACCAGAATCAAATTAAATAAAAATCTAGAGCTTGAGAATCAGAATCTCAAAACCATGGTACAGTGTTAACAATATGGTATGGAATGATTACCATTGTCAAATACTATAGTGCTTAGTTATACCATGGTATTGCCATTGCACTTCAGTTCAAGCAAATATTTTGCCTTTATCTCTGCCTTTATACTATGACTGAATGTTGAGTCAGTGTAACATTAGCATAGAAATGCCTCAATTGGGTTCTCAAAGAACTTTTCTCACGTGTCAATCAGACACTGGCAATATAATAAAGCAAACTGTGAACCGAACAAAGCTGCACAGCTCGCTGGTTTGGAACAGCCATGCAGAATTCAGTGAGTTTGTCTTTCATAAATTTCTAATCACTTCATACATCTCTAAATTCAGCAATAGTTCTTTTTGAAGGGCCTGGAGTTAAAATCATAGTTTTAAAGGTTTTACATCATGCATGATCTACAGAGAAATACGGCATAAATGGGGCAGTGGGGCACATCTGAGAAAGTCTCCCACAGAGCCAGAATGTGAGATCATCATAGGAGTAATCCTACAAAACACTAGAGCACACAAGCATAAAGATATGTGAGCACACACACACATTTACACAGTCAATATCCATGCAGCTCCGGTTTCATCTGGATGTTTATTGCAGATGGAATTGAGACTGTAATATGATTTTGAAACAATGTACTATACAAGCCCTATATTAATTCACCTTAGCACTTTCAATTCACAAACTCATATGCGCACACGGCATCTCGTAATCAGAGGGTTATGATCATTCGTGTAGGAGCAATTACTAGGATCCTTTTTTGTACTTTTATGAGAACCAATTTGTGTCAGTCTCCCTGCGTTTACATCCAGAGATATGTGAAGTTTTCTTCCTGTGGCTCTTGTAATTGATATTTTAACAGACAGTATACACTATGTCAGAGACTAAACTGTGAAATGCTTAATGAATTCTTTATTCATTTTTTTCCAAGTTTTGAAGATTCACCTCAACCTTAGCACTTTCAATTCACAAACTCATGCGCACACGGCATCTCGTAATCAGAGGGTTATGATCATTCGTGTAGGAGCAATTACTAGGATCCTTTTTTGTACTTTTATGAGAACCAATTTGTGTCAGTCTCCCTGCGTTTACATCGCGCACACGGCATCTCGTAATCAGAGGGTTATGATCATTCGTGTAGGAGCAATTACTAGGATCCTTTTTTGCACTTTTATGAGAACCAATTTGTGTCAGTCTCCCTGCGTTTACATCCAGAGATATGTGAAGTTTTCTTCCTGTGGCTCTTGTAATTGATATTTTAACAGACAGTATACACTATGTCAGAGACTAAACTGTGAAATGCTTAATGAATTCTTTATTCATTTTTTTCCAAGTTTTGAAGATTCACCTCATGAGAGGATTTTCAGGAAAGAAATACCTTCTTAAACCAGAGAAGATTTTATAATCCGAACCAAACACACTGATAAGTGACAGCATTACTAATCCTTGTATAATGTAGTGCATATACAACGCTAAGAATGTTTCACACATATTCAAATCTGTGTCCTTAAATCCGTAACTTTTCAAGTGTGGTGCAGGAATTGTGTTTGATAGAGTTCTGACTTGGTCAGGATAAAAGAGATAATCGTTTTATGGATTTAAACTTCATGGAATAAAGTTTTATGAATCCGAAAATTGTTGATTGCTTCAAGTCAAGTTAGGGATTAATACGGTTTTTTATGTTTTCGGAGGAAATATCTTATTGTCACATCTTATGCACTTATTTAACTAAAAATACAGTATGAACAGCAGTAGTGTGCAATGTAATTCATGCCTGTGATGGCAAAACTGAATTATCATCAGCCATTACTCCAGTCTTCAGTGTCACATGATCCTTAAGAAATCATTCTAACATGCTGATTTGGTACTCAAGAAACTTTTTTTTTATTATTATCATAGTTGTAAAAGATTGTGCTGCTTAACATTTTAGTGGAAACCACAAAGTTTGATGAACAGAAAGTTGAAAAGAATTTTCAAAATCTATTGTAACATTATAAATGTCTTTACGGTCACGTCTTATCAATTAAATGCATCTTTGCTGAATAAAGATATTAATTTTAACAAAAAATTTAATCTTACTGACCCCAAACCTTTCAAAAATAGTGTAATTTGGAAATACTCCTATCCTTAACAATAACACCTGTAAAACAGGACAGTTTGTGTGTGTATTGTGTAACCCACCTGTAAGGCTATCCGGTCTTGAAAGTACCATCCTCTCAAAGATGTCATAGGCCCGTGACCCAAAAGAAGAGTGAGTGCTGTCATATGCGTGTGAATCGTGCTTCCCCAGGGTCCCGTACTGCTGAGGCTGAGCGGTCATACCGGCCCGCAGGAGTGTTGGTGACTCAGACTCTGACAATGTCCCATTTCCATGCCGTCCCAAGTAGCTGGAGTGTACTAGGTCGGGGGCGTGGCTGGAGGCAGGAGGCAAGCTGGTGCCAGGAAATATACTAGGTAGAGGACGGGGCTCTGAAACTATAGGTGAGCCATAGGGGCTTCCGAGAGAAGTACGCAGAGGCTGGCGAGACGCAGGTGGGGACGGGGTGTAGAGTGGGGATGGGGCACGAGAGGGAACAGAACTGACACGCCTCATGACTCGGCCACTGCTGCCCACCTGAGAAACAGATTATATACAAACAAACACTTTAGCCATCATACATGCAAACTACACTGTGATAATACAGTTATAACTTCAAACTTTACTTTTAAAAATACTGTAAGATGAATGATAAATCAGGATTGAGATCAGCTAAGGAAAAAAAGAAGGAAAACCTAAACCACCCTTCTATGGGCTCTATGCACGAACACTTCCACATTTAGCCTCAAAATTAAGCACAAAATTAAATCTTGAGGAAGGTTCACACAGGGGGAAAAAGCAATTATGATATGATCCACCTTTATGGAGCAGGTATTTAAACCTTCAGGAACTCATTAGTAAGAAGTTTTTAATAAAAAGATAGGTTTACTATAATTAACAATATGCTTAATTCACTATAAAACACGTACTATAATACACTAAATAAATTGAATATTTAGAAATAACAATAATAAATTAGTTACCAATAATACATTTCAGAAAACCACACTAAAATTCAAATACAAATATTTATGCATCTCGACTTTTGCTTTCAAACGTGAAACCAACAGTGTTTTCCAGAGCGGAAAACAGGAAGTCCTTATAGCTTCTAAAAAAACGATTCTCATGACTAATTTGGGCACATGCTGGGTTTTCAAATGCATGTTATAAGCGACCCAAACTCACAGCTCTTGCAGAGATGGAGTTCGTTTGGAGCAGCATTTACTGCGAAAAAAAAACAAACACCGGATACTCACGTATAGACAAACACAGCACCGTGCTTTACTCTGAAATATGCAGCGCGTCAGACTACATATTTCTATAATTAAATCACAGCCTTTGCTATTTATTAATCGCACTAGATGGAGAGGAACACCGTTTCATATTCTAGCAAACTCTCATTTACTAGCATAGTCTGAGATGCAAAGGGTTTCCAGCACACAGCTGATAGATGGCGCCGCTAGCTCTTGCAGTGCTGCCGGAAGCAATCCATGCATGCAATGTATTTGAAAATGCAACGATTTACAGTTTGTTTAGTGTTTTTTTTAAAAGTCCATCTCGACTTCTCAGGTCAGAAAAGATAAAAATGCATCGCTGATAAAACTGCATATTTATAATTTACATCTAATGATATTCAGAAAAGCTAAATAACCTATGGAAAATTTTATTAATCAATTTGTCTCTGTGTGTATTTGTGTGTGTTTATACCTGTGCTGAGGCCTGTCCTTCAGCCCTAGAAATCATGACGAGGGTGGGGCTTCCGCTGGGGGCGGAGCTTGTCGACTGGGACCTCCCTTCCGATCGTCTGGGTGTCACTGTGTTACTATAGTAACCACTCACCTCCTGATAGCCACTATCTGAATACGAATTAATTTGAGTAGAGCTGCGTGAGTTTGGCGCAGACCCTGAGCAAAGGAAACAGCAAGAAACAGGCACACCAGAAAAACACTGAGATAGACAACATATTTTCTGTTCAGAAATGGTCAAATAATTCTATTTGAACTATGGATTGCAAGGTTAAATACAACCTAAGCTCTATCAATAGAAACTGTGGCCTGTTGTTGATTAATGATGACCCGTCTTTCACTTTTAAAAATGAATGAGAAACATATACTTTCGTACTAAGTCGACAATTAACAAAAACTGGTTTTGATACCACTTTTACTGCAATATCGGTAATGGTGCAATTGATCGTTCATGTCCAGCTGCATTATGTAAAAAGTAATTTAATGTCTCATGTTAATGTATACAGAGGACAAAAGGAGATGTTCTTTAGTTAGCGTTAAAGGAGTAGTTCACTTCCAGAACAAAAATTTACAGATAATGTACTCATCCCCTTGTCATCCAAGATGTTCATGTCTTTCTTTCTTCAGTCGAAAAGAAATTATGTTTTTTGAGGAAAACATTTCAGGATTTCTCTCCATATAATGGACTTCTATGGTGCCTGTGAGTTTGAACTTCCAAAATGCAGTTTAAATGCAGCTTCAAAGGGCTATAAAAGATCCCAGCCAAGGAAGAAGGGTCTTATCTAGCGAAATGATCGGTTATTTTCTAAAAATTTTTTTAAATTTATATACTTTTTAACCTCAAAACGCTCGTCTTGTCTAGCTCTATGTGAACTCTGTTTTTTCCGGTCCAAGACAGTTAGGGTAGGTCTAAAAACTCCCATCTCATTTTCCCTTCCAACTTCAAAATCATCCTACATCGCTGCAGAAGTACCGACCCAGTGTTTACAAAGTGAACATGCAAAGAAGATCAAATGGCCTTTACAAAAAAACAAACAAAAAAAAACGACGCTGTAGGAAGATTTAGAAGTTGGAGGAGAAAATGAGATGGGAGTTGGATGTTGTGTGCCCCCTTGGATGTTGTGTGGCCCGAGGACGCGCCTTCCGGGAGGGGGGAGTAATGTCAGACTCTGTTTCGGGTTTTGTGTGTGTTTTCCTCCCCCCATGTGCTCCATGTTATTTTTATGCCCTTATTTGGTTTTCCTGTTCCTGTTCCCATTTAAATTGATTTAGTTTCAGCTGTGTCCCATTTAATCTCCCTGTTAATTGCCTTTACAAAAAAACAAACAAAAAAAAACGACGCTGTAGGAAGATTTAGAAGTTGGAGGAGAAAATGAGATGGGAGTTGGATGTTGTGTGGCCCGAGGACGCGCCTTCCGGGAGGGGGGAGTAATGTCAGACTCTGTTTCGGGTTTTGTGTGTGTTTTCCTCCCCCCATGTGCTCCATGTTATTTTTATGCCCTTATTTGGTTTTCCTGTTCCTGTTCCCATTTAAATTGATTTAGTTTCAGCTGTGTCCCATTTAATCTCCCTGTTAATTCCTTGATTAGCTCCTTTACTTAAACCCAGTGTTTCCTAGTGTCTAGCGTCCGGAATTAAATGTCTTCTGGTCTCCTCGTTGTCATCCTGCCTGATTTGTATGCCCGTTTATTTATTAAAGTCTGTTTGTTTCGAGTTCATCCTATGTCTCCTCGTTTCCTCGCTGCACGCTCCCTGTGAATCATGACAGATAAGACACTTCTTCCTCGGCTGGGATCGTTTAGAGCACTTTGAAGCTGCATCAAAACTGCATTTTGGAAGTTCAAACTCACGGGCACCATAGAAGTCTATTATATGGAGAGAAATCCTGCAATGTTTTGCTCAAAAACATAATTTCTTTACGACTGAAGAAAGACATGAACATCTTGGATGACAAGGGGGTGAGTATATTATCTGTACATTTTTGTTCTGGAAGTGAACTAACGTTACTCCTTTAAAGGGGTCACATGATGCGATTTCAAGTTTTCCTTTCTCTTTGGAGTCTTACAAGCTGTTGGTGAATAGATAAGATCCCTAAAGTTGCAAAGTCTCAAACCCCAAGAAATATTCTTTATAAAAGTTAAGACTCATCCACGCCCTCCTAAAACGCCTCGTTTAAACACGCCCCCACATGTCTACGTCACGATGTGGGAAGATTTGCATAACGCCACCCAAATATTCATAGAATATGTAGAGTAGACTACAATTCCGGTTGTTCTGACTCACAGCCTGTAAGTACGTTTTCATATTTAAAGAATTCGCCCCTGACGATTCAAAAGCGAGTTTTGAGCAGTGTAGAGTAGCGCTTGTTGTTTGTCATTTCTCCGATCCCAAATGCAGACATGGTTTTATGTTTATGCGGCGCGATGCAATGCAACGCGTAAAAAGACAGTGTAAGTCATTTATAATCCATAATTGTCCCCACTGGATGCAACAAATGCCTCGTTTATAATGGGTTTTAATGTTTTTGTCTCGTCGCTCCGGGACACGGCATCACAATATGGTAAGGGTCATAATATTTCCGTCACACGCTTGAGGTATTCGGCCAATCACAACACACTGGATAGCTGGCCAATCAGAGCACACCTCACTTTTCAGACCGATGAGCTTTGTAAAAATCGACTCGTTTCAGAAAGGCGGGGCTTAGAGGAGAAACAGTATGTGTATGTATGTACAGTATGTGGAAAATAATGTGTTTTTTGAACCGTAAACCGCATAAACATATTTCATTACACCAAGTACACAAAATAATGTTCATTTTAGCAACATCATATGACCCCTTTAACATCGCTGATGTTTGCGTATTTTAAGTAGATAGCGCAATGTTTTTACAAACTGCACTGCCATCTATCGACGTTGTTCAGTACGATCATCTCAGAGTTGAATGTAAATTAATTAAAAAGTGGTCTACACAATAATTAATTCCCTTACCTGTCCAAAAACAGGTCTATTAACCTGTGTACGCTGTACTGACGTTAACGCTCGTTTATGTCTTTGCTGGTCTTTCTGTCTCCTGGCTTCATACCTTTTCTGCTTCTTTGGTCGTACAGGTACCGATTCTCCTGTGTTCCACTGTCTAACTTTCGCTTTTGCGTCACCAAACAACACTACGCTATCAGCGTATCTACAGTGCCGGCAGCCAATGAGCGTGAAGATTTTCGGGTTATGTCATTTCAACATGGCGAAATACACTGAGGGGATGACCCGCACCATGTATAATTAAAACATTTTTTATAGAGAGTTATTATGAGTACAGTGAGTGTACACCACTCAAATGACGCGTCACAAAAACAATATTTATTTCTTAATATGTTAACATTTGAAAATGAGTACCAAGCTACTTAATGCTCCTTTAAAATTTTATCCAGCTGTAATATTTGCAAGAAAAAGACAACATTCACTGCTTTTAATGTATTTATTTGTACTTTGATACTGACTGTTTAGTTGAACAATTATTTGAAACTTTTGAAAAGTAATGTCTACCTAATTGAAAATTAACTGAAGGCTACATGCTATTGTTTTATTTTGATTGGTTTATGATGATATTAATATTTAATTATTTAAATAACGGAGTATGCTATAATGCTCCTTTAAAATTTTATCCAGCTGTAATATTTGCAAGAAAAAAAGACAACATTCACTGCTTTTAATGTATTTATTTGTACTTTGATACTGACTGTTTAGTTGAACAATTATTTGAAACTTTTGAAAAGTAATGTCTACCTAATTGAAAATTAACTGAAGGCTACATGCTATTGTTTTATTTTGATTGGTTTATGATGATATTAATATTTAATTATTTAAATAACGGAGTATGCTCAATGAGATTTGTTCATTTTCACTGGTACTGGTATCATCTACTTACATCTTGGTACTGTAAAAGACCTAATGTGTACAGTAATTCTCTTAAAGTCGAAGCCTACCTGTAGATCACAAAAAATTAACCTGGTATTTGCTTGCTATACTGAATGCAAAGTAATAAAAAGACATAACTACTGTACATGTACTGTTTGCATGGAGCAAACTTCATTAACAATTATTACACCAGAAAAACATAACCAGACTTTCATCCACCTATAAAAGCAGTCTGCTTCAAAAGGATTGCAAAATTTAATTAGCTTATGAAATTCAAGTGCATCCCATCTAGGTTTCCAATGTAGGTGTATAAAGACTTTTTACTGTTATAAGGAAGCATTCAATTTGTCAAAAAATTATAGTAAAGACATTTATAATGTTTCAAAAGATTTGTATTTCAAATAAATGTTCTTTTGAAAGAAATGTTCTTCTAATAACAAATCAGCCTATTAGAAAGATTTATGATGGATCATGTGACACTAAAGATGCGTAATGGCTCCTGATAATTCAGCTTTGCTTTGTCATCACAGTAATAAACAAAATTGTAAAACATGTTAAAATATCTCAAAACATAGTGTTTTTAAAATTGTAATTTCACAATATTACTGTTTGTACTGTATATTTTTCATCCAATAAACGCCTTGGTGACAATAAGAGACATCTTTCAAAAACAACAACAGAAATCTTCTTAACTATAGTGTATAAACTGAAAGACACACTATTTTCTGTGGTAATCAACAGCAGGCCACAGATGCTGCCCATAGAGCTTTAGTTGTATTCAACTTGGAATATTGCATAAAAGCATCAGTGTGAGTATTAATTGTTCACATAGAAGTGACAGAAGGCAATATGGAGTGTGAATGAACAGACCCTCACTTTCACGCAGGGAGATCTGTTCCAATTCAGGAGAGTAAAGTAACTCCTGACCTCTGACCCCAAATGTGGGCGAGGAGCAACCATCCGACGGCTTAGACACACCTGCACCTGAGGATTCTGATGACCAAAGGGTTAACATACTGTGAGCAGGGTTGAAGTATTTAAGAAAATGATCAAGATACAGTTACCTTCATCCCCTTGACATACCTAGAGAGAGCATTAACCTAAAATATGCCACCCAAAATGCAACCCAAAATAAAAGTCCTTGACAGATAATGTAAAATGCTTTCCGTCATTTCCACAGATAAAAATAAGGTATCTGGTCTATTGTGTTTCCATACTTTAAAGTCATTCTCACAGTAAGAGATGACAATAGGAATTAGAACTGAAGAAAAGGGTAGCCACTCTGTAAGGATTTGGAGGGCGAAAAAGAGATTCCAATTGTAGTTCAGTGGAATAATTAATGGGATATTGTTCATTAAGTTGGGTGACCAGTTCACAAGACCACAGTGTCTGGTGTCTTTTTTTAGAGCAGAATAAAAAAGAAAAAGGCCAGAACCCACAACAGTGTTTGTCAAGAGTAAAAGAGCTCTTGGCACAGTTCTTGTGATATCAATGTCACATTAAAAATACCAAATATTACAATATAATACCGTACAATGACAGTCAACATAGTGCAGCTTTGGGGTACTGTAACTAAACCATAATACACTGAGAAAAGCTAGGTCAGGCAAAAAATGTACACACAATTACGCACAAATGTCCTCTAAATGCTTCAGAGAGCCTTGAGTACAAAAATCAGCCAGCTCAACCATCAAAGCTATGTGATCTGTGCTGTATGTATGTGACTGCAGGGCTGTCTAAAATGTCATAGCTCTGCTTATTCTTATTTACAACAGGTGACAAGAAAAAATAACAAGCAGGAAGAGAACTAGACAAAAATACCTGCAGATCTCCACAGAAGGGACTTCTCAGAAGAGCTGGAAAAGACATGAGAAAAGATTAAATGAGAGGAGAACAATGTTAATGTCAGAAGCATTATATGAAACTAGTGCCTTTTTCAGTTTAAGTTGATTTTAAAGTAACTTTTTAAAACATACTAATAATGTTTAAGGGGTAATATATTATGCCATTAATTAATTAATTATGCCTTCAGAAAAGTAACACGGTTGACAGTTTTACAATTTAATTTGACATATTGTGCTTTAATTAAACCATTAACTTGAGCCCACGGTTATGAAGCTAGAAAATGTTTATTAAAGAGACAATTTTATACTGATATTAAATATACACGTTTCAATTATCACTTGCTTACTATAAAAATCATGGTAACTAGGTGGACGTTTTAACGATCACCCTCACTATCCCCACAACGAAACATAAGATAAATTGATACAACACTATATAAACTTTAAAGGTGTATTCAGTAATTCTTCAGCTAGTGATTCTCCTGTTCCCTACGTTGGAAAGCACTATAATAAGTGTGGTTCATTGTCTAATTTTCAGTCTTCGCATCACTAAACAACACTGCACTACTAGTGTGAGGATTCTTTTCGATGTTTGCTTAAACACCACGGATCACATCATTTCAACATGGCAAAATATAGTGAGGTGGGTGACCCATGCCATGTATAATTAAAACACTTTGAATAGAAAACTATTATGAGTACAGTCTTCATCTCTTGTGAATCTACACCATGACTCAGATGACTATTGACAAATCACAATTTATTTCTTAATCTGTAAGACTTTTAAATTGGCACCAAAATTGGAACTCTTGGAGCCCTTAGGCCAAATTGGAGCCCTTAGGCCATCCAAGATGTAGATGAGTTTGGATCTTCATCACAATAGATTTGGAGAAATGGATCCTCTGCAGTGAATGGGTGCCGTCAGAATGAGGGTACAAACAGCTTATAAAAACCTCATAATGTGAATGTCAGTGACATGAGTCCATGATCCACAAAAAAAATCCATCCCCTGTTGTCTTCTCACATCAAAATCCACAACAGATTCCTTTAGAACTGTTTTGGACTCTTTTCACTTGTAAAAAGTGCTTGATCTGGGCATATTTTTCTCCTGTTTCAGACGAGACGACTTTTTCACTGGAGGAAGCAACATTATGGATAGAGGACTCGTATTTTTACCAGAAGCAACAGTTCGAAGTTAAAAAACGTCTGAATGATAAATTTATTACAAACAGTCAGCTTTTCACTTCACAAGATTTTAATGATGGACTAGAGTCGTGTGGATTACTTTTTTCAGCTGTTTCAGAACTCTCATTCTGACGGCACCCATTCACTGCAAAGGATCCTTTGGTGAGCAAGTGATGTAATGCTAAATTTCTCCAAATCTGTTCCGATGAAAAAACGTGGGACGATCAGTTGGATTTTAACAGATTCACAGCGTTAATGAACACTATCAGTATTAACAAGATTTGAAAAGATGAAGAACTCATCTATAGTACATCTTGGATGGCATGAGATTGAATACATTTTCAGCAAATTTTCAATTAGTTCTTTAACTTAAAACTACATATGTACAGTATATAGAAAAAGTAAAGACAATAAACTAACTTTTATTTTCCTGCATACAACATTTGGCCAAAAAGGCATCCTTATAACAAAAGGCAATAAATAAATAGTGAATTAAAATAAATTTACTGTTGTTTTGTTGATGTGTTAGTCTGTGAATCACTGTGTACTGTGCATGTCTAAAAGTTGGCATTAGCTATTTCTATTTCTAGTTATTTTTCACACATTTATGAGAAGCACAAATGGCATCCGTTTTGTAGAATCTCATCTTCCAATAAGTCAATGAAAAGCAAAAAGATCCGTTCCATTTGCCCAGCATTAGGAAACCATTACCAGTGAACATCATTCACATTGTTACAGTCTACTGACACAAATTTTAAAAATCCTGTTCGGTTAATGACAAGAAATTAAAATGCTTATGCATTTGTATTTTATTTGTTCAGGTTGAATAAATGACAGAATGTAGACACCACTGTCTTAAAACAGCAGACGAGTGTCTGCTAATGCCTGCCAAAAAGCAACACTGTCTGCAAAGGAGGGGTCAAAGGACACCGGTCATCAGTGTACAGAGACAGCTGAAAGGGGGCACAGTGGGGACAGCAGGAATGCCACATAGAGAAAGGTTAAAGGTAATGGGTTGCAGGACGCATGGTAGCAAGAATGCACACATGGACCTTCTTCAAACAAAAGGAAAAAACGTCCTGTATACTGCGGCAAAACAGCACAAGCCATCTGAAAAAACAGAACAGACACTCCTTCACAGATGAGGAGAACAAACAGGGCAGCTGACATGTGCATACACACATACAGACACAAAGAGTTCAATGTGGCAAAGCAAGAGATGGCGAAAAACTATACTTCAGTTTAACCAGATTGAAAATAAATCTTTTTGAAGTGATGGCTGTAGCGAACATCTCTGATTTATCAAGAGCACTCTTTCCATGACATTCATTAAACGAGAAACTTTCACAATACCCTAAAGCTTGAATGTGTTTATTGTAAATTGACAAACACCCACTTTCCATAAAAGTAATTATTCAGTGAGGAAAGAGAGACAACAGTTTGCGCTTCACTGCACACTTGTCCTTCATACTGACACACACCATGAGAAACACAGAACAGCGAGTGCTGTGTTTCTGTACAGTATGTACACAGACTACATATACTGTACAGTTAAATGTGTTTAACGTGTAGGCAGGGGCGTGAGAATGATCCATTTATGTGTGGAGGGAGAAGGGTTGAAATGCGTAGTTGCCACGGATACACTCATATGAGATTAGTTTGAAGGCTTAAAATAATATAAAAGTGCAATAATTAAGCCTCCTCATTGTGAAAATCATGTAATAATGTATATTTTTGTTTTTCATTTTATTTTGTTATTTTATTCATGGAAAAGTTCATCAAAAAATAAAACATTGCCTGTCTTTGCAAACCCATATGAAAACACAAAAGGAGATGTTTAGTAGAATGTTCAAGCTGCTCAGTTCCACACAACAAAACTGAACTGCAGGGTTATTACTGTTAACCAAAAATAAAATGAAAACTAAAACCATAAACTAAAAATAAAATAAAATAGGCCTAAATGTTAACTAAAATATAAAAAATTAAACATACTTTATCAGCTAGTTGCCAAGGCATCATTTATCATTTTCTTTTAGTTTAACTTGAAGTTCTAAAATAACTCGAACTAAAACTGAAATAAAAATTAATAAGAAATATATAGACATATTGAAATAAATATATATGTAAATGACACAAATGCAAGAAAATTACTAAAACTTTAACTAAAATGAAAATGAAAATATATATATACGTATATTCAAAATGCTGCTGGACTGTCAAGCTCCAAAAAGGACAAAAAACACCATAAAAATAAACATTTGCTTGGTATCCTCCTCCTTGTCCTTCAGTAGTGTTGAGTGACCCTGAACATTTAAACATCTGCTTTTGTGTTCCACTGAAGATAAGTCAAATGACATGTAAGGTGAGTAAGTGACAACAATTTTCATTTTTTTCAAGTACTGCCACTGCCAACTATAAAACCGCTAAAACCCACATCGGCAACAGTGATCAAATATTTACAATCATGCACATGTTTTTAGAGGAAAAACATGCTGAGCGGGCCTCATGGCAATAACTAGAAAGCAGTACAGATGTTCTTCTCATAAATATATTCTGCCATCATTTACTCCAAACTTGTATGACAAATCAAGCAAAAACCCAAGATGTTTGACGTCACAAATTTTAAACCTGGTCAAGGCGCCATATTTAAATGTAAAGAAACACAAGTGAGATTAAAGAGCAACAGCAAAAGCGATGGGATTTAAGTCTGTTCTTCACACAAAGCTATTGCACGTTGTATAAAATGTCATACAGGCTACTTTCATGACATTTTTACTTTCAATATATATAAAAAACGTAATTTGGAAATCAAAAGTCATATAACCTGAGGAAAGGAAAATGTTCAGAATGTTCATTTTTAAATAAGCTCTTTCTTTAAATCAGACCTCTAAAATAAATTCCACTCACGGAACACACAAGTTTTTATCATAGTGTTTTTTAAAACTGCCTCTTACCTGTCACTCACAGCATCTGGAGACTCCGCCCCCAACCTGCATCGCTCCAGCTGATTGGCCACAATCTGTCTCTCTTCTTCAAGTTCTCTGGTAAGCCGTTCAAACTGGAGCTCCTTCAGAAAGACAAGAGGGACAAAAGTGTCGCCGTCACTGCCTTCTATCATCAAAAACATCTCCATAATGTGAAGGCAGTACACACATCATACCCGTTTTCAGTTACAACATTAATTTAGTTTCAAAATCCATTGTCTTTAAATCCTGTCTCTTCTTAGTTCCCATCCTGTCGCGCTGCTTTTTGCTTCTGAATTTGTGGCCTCTTCCCCCCTTCTTGACTCAGTCTCTGTGTGTGTGCAATGCATGTTTGTTTGCTTATGTGTGTGTGTGTGCGGAAGGCGAGAAGGCTGCACTGTTGGCCTGCCTCTCTGTGATAGAGACAGACTCGTTGATGCAGCTGCCCTTAAAGGGGACACACTCTCTCACACACATATAAACAGCCCACACTGCTGTTGTATTGACTATAGTGTTCTGAGGAGAAAAAATATCACTATTGTGTCACTGCATATTTTCATGATTGCTTGCCATTGTTAGACTGCAACGAAACGATTCTGGAGCATTGTATATGCTCTGAAATTGATATTATATTCTGAAAGTATTGCAGATTTCATGCCGGCAAGTACTATAAGAGGTTGCAATTAATGTAGCCAATGAAAAGGAGAGATTATTGAGTGTTGTTCTCCAGGCGAGGTAAGTCAGGCAATGGCTATCTGCCTTGTGCCATGCTGTGAGCTACCAGCTGTACCAGGCCTCTTCTATTCAACCTATTGTTCAGAGTGACAATACTTGCCTATGTCCTGATTCTGTCCAAGAGGAGCACAAAGAAACGACAAGACTTGACCACACAAATCACTGCAATCACACACACACACACACACACACACAATGCAATGAAATCCATGCTGCAGTTTCTGGTGTCCTAGTGAAAAATGTTAAGCCTGGTAATGGGATAATCAGTTAGATTTTAACAGAGACTCATAGCGTTAATGAACACTATCAGCATTAACAAGATTTGCAATGATTAAGCTAACAGTTTAATTAGTAATTTTCATGACACTGAACTGTGAAACAGATTAGAGGCCGGAGCATCAGACCTTATGTGAGAAATGTGAGAAAACATGTAATTAAGAATTTAGTTCCTAAAAACCTGGTTTAGTGCCTGGTATATATATATAAAAAAAAAAAAAAT